CTGAATCCAATACATCATATATACCATCCACCCACTCTCAGAATTTTCATCTTCATATATGTGTTTTAGAACATAGTTCGCTGAAGTTATTTATTTCTCCTTACCATTTTCTTTGTATTGAAACTTCAGAGGCAAATTTTGGAATTTGTGTTTGAATAATCCATTATAAATAAAATAAAGAAATTACTACTAAAATAACTTTTATTTATTTATCACCCAAAGTTTATAGCCCATTATTATTACCATTAGAACTAAGCACGTAGCAAATATTTATAGTGAGGGTTATTTTGTCTCGTGGGTTACCACCAGCCGGCGCTCTGTACCCCGGAAAATACAACCTATACATCTCTCGGGCGACATTCTCTTAGAAAACTCGGAAGCTTGAGATTTTAATGCAAATAAATTAATAAAATTTCATAAATCTTGTAGTGGTCAAAAGATCGTTCTTGGTAGATAATGGTAAAACACCTATGACTATTAGGAAAATTGAAGGGAAAAGAGAGATATTAAAAAGTTAAATAGCTATACGTAGTGCGATTCAAACGTTCCCGAACTGAGTGTATAACTTAAAAATTATTACCAATTAAACTGCTGAAACACATCCTCCTTCGCATTAAGACTCTTGAGTAACAACACACTTTTACCATAGCTTGTAATGGTCATCGAAACATTTCTGGAATCCCTTTTTAGCCATGTTCTTCCATTCAGCCTCCGATGCACTTTTAATTTCATCTACAGATTGGTCTTCGTTTAACATGCGGGGAACGATACGTTGACACACTCTATGCAAGTTAAGATCCTTAGTCTATATCTATTGACATGTGGCCAAGGTTATCCCAACTGATTCTGCTATTATTTGAAGCCACTTCTTACGCACCGCTGCAGAAACCTTTAGGATGTTTTCAGCGGTGCTGAAAGTCTGAGGACGTCCACAGAGCGTTTGTTTTCTTCCACACTTTCCCACCCCTTCCTAAAACGTCGATGCCCCTCAAAAGCTTACGTTCGCGATACTGTTTTAAAACCTTACACTTGCTTCCAAATTTCGTAAGGCTCTGTAGCACTCTTTTCCAAATGAACACACAATTTAATATCCATTATCTTCTCAACAAATGCCATTTCTTTAAATCTCACCGAGGACTAAATACACCCGCCTACAAAATACGACGCCGTGGCAACCCACCGAACACGAGATTTGGAATAAACCTATTTTATATAGAAAAGGGGAAGAATGCAATAACATAGAAATGCTATTGTAGTCGCCAAACTGCAATCATTTTCACGTTATGGGCTCAGTCCGGGAACTTTTGAATCATATCAGTATATTACAAAAAGTCGTGCAGTAAGTTCAAGAAAAATGAAAACCTGAAAAAATGAAATTCTTGAGATTAACACATCTGAGTAAAGTTTCAAAAACTTTCATTTGACCACTCAAACTCATTTAAAAATTTTAATTGAATTTGAAATTTATAATCACATGAGCTTTTAACCTCGTTAATAACTTTATTCAAAAGAATGAGGAGTCTGTAAGTGCAGATTAAAACGCAACGGAAGCTTTGCGTAAAAATCACTGTTATGTTAATAACGTTACATCGTATGGAAAATGAATTAGAATATCAATCATTGTCCGATAATAGGAAGAAGTTTAAGATAATCCTTGTAATTAATTCAGGACGCTACTTAACCCATATTAATGAATACTTTGAGAAGGGAGATGTTCTCTCGTATATTTACTCTACTCAACTTTCGTATGCAATGAATGTTATTATCTGATCACTTAAGAGAATGCTGACATTAGAGTTCATAGCTCTTGTACTGCTAAATAATTTATTACCAAGGCGTGGACTTAACTGACACCTCATTATTCAAGTAGACAACCTGGGGACTCTAGTGGATGACTGCTTTGAAACCCCTTTTGTGCACAAAGAATACGCGACAGGAGATCATCTGATATTACTTTTGCACGTACTCATAATGGTTTTGTTACTTTTCAGCAGGAAAAGGTTAGATGAAATTACCTAACGAAACAATTTTTCAAACTGCTACTTGCTGAAGGGGAATTATCTAAATACAAAGGCTATCATTACTTGTATGCAATAGAAAAACTTCAATAAAATGATATTTATTAACTATAAGGACGTATTGTAAGATTTACTATTATTTTTAGTGCTTTATTTAAAATGATTTTATTCTTTTTAAGCAAATCTCAATTTTATTTTCTTAAGTTGGTTTTGCTAATATACTTATAAAACTGAAAAAAAAAAGAATAGAATATTCCGATTTTATACATAATTTTTTGTCCAACACACACAGCACTCGAAAATATAAGGGAATTGGTTTCTATATTTATTTATCACCGATACTAGCAAATTTTACTGTAGTAGATATTACGATCTAATTTTTTAGTCCAATATTGAAAAGAAACTCTATTGGCATTATTTTTTTTATTGCCAAGATGTGGACTTAAATAAGATTTTAAGACCTATTCCTTGCACACAGGATAATATTTCCCCTATTAGCAGCTGATGTAGATTTATATTGGGATATATCCACTGGCGTAGCTAGTTATAAATGGGCCCCGTATCAAAACTGCTTCAGAGCCTTTTTTAGAAATGAAAAGCTTGTAAGTGGTACTGTAGTTATACATGTCGGGGCCCCTGCAACTTGGGAGCCCCGCAGCATTGATACGGCTGTAGCTCTCTTGGATATATCTAATCTGAATACCTGTTTAATTTGGAAATTTTCTCCTAGCAGCTTTCATTTATTTATCTTATTTTTTAGTTAATTTTCTTCCATTTATATTCAAAACTTTTTTTTGTTATACATATCAAACTGAGGTTTTTGTAAATTATTCGTGTAAGTAGTAAAAAGGAGCTATTGAAATTTAGATTGTATCATGGGAGCCCAGTAACACCAAAGACCCGCTGTGTAGGGCAACGATGCACGTTAAATCTGTCGAGAGCTAAGACGTCCTCCCGAAAGTGTGGTGTGGTAGTTAGGAGAGGGGGGTGCCAGCTCAGGTGTCGTCCACGTCTCTTGACCTTGGTTCAAAATTACGTGGTCCGTCACCAAAAGCCCTTGTGTAGCTGAACAGTGCGACGTTAATATTCACTCACTCACTTAACATTGATTATTTGAATCCAAATATTGTTAATAATATGGTTTTGTTCAAGCAATTTGAAACATTTTTCCAATTAAAGCTTTATTTTTTAAATTAAAATTTTTATTTTAGATTGTTTTATTTTCATATTTGGAATGAACAACATCCTGAAGCGTTTGTAATTTAAACTCTGCTTTTTGAAAAATACAGCAAAAATTATGCATCGTTCATAAAATTTTTTACAGATCCTTCATGACAAATCATTATAACTCAATTATATTATCATACCAATTTATTAAAATGATAATGACCTTTATTTTTTATAATTTTCAAGTCATTTTGTAAAAGAAATTTAAATACTATAATATTTATTTATTTGCTACCAGAAGCTTTCGGTCAAATTAAGCCGAAAAAAATCTTCAATTATTACGAAAAATATGCTAATTCCCAAATACTATTTCAGTAATGTAGGTCAGGTACAGTAATTTAAAACAAGATATCCTATTACTTGATGGAAATATTATAGAAATTTTTTTTGTGTATTGGATGATTATTGTATAAAATTCATTTTGTAGGAAAATCATGAAATGAAAGAACTAAAAAAAACATATTTCATTATTTTTTCTAGAAAATAAAACACATGATGATAACATTTGATATCTTTTTGACTGACGAACAAAAATAGAGAAAAGTAAAATGTTAACATCGTAAGGCAAAAGGAAAAGAAAAAATATAGATTTCAGATGAATTTACTATTCACAACAATACTAAGTTCTAAATAACTACCGCTTCAGAAGGATAAGAGCAATTATAAAAGAATTTTAAAAATTGCTTAGGATTCTAATATATATATATATATATATATATATGTGTGTGTGTGTGTGTGATAAAATATTTATTAAATACCATATAATTACCATTTTAAATGAAAAACATCTTAAATTCTCTATTTTGATAGATAATGAAACTTATTTCGGCGAAAGAGTTTTTAGGCTAATTAATTCGAAGTAATTTTTTTTAATATTTCGAGATTCATATAAGTTATTAAATCCAAAAATTATTAATTGGCCTAAATTCTATCTTAACATGGTTCATCAATTATTCAGAGTAAAGATTTTAAGTTTCTTTGTAATTTAAATTTGCTAATCTTGAAAGTTATAAATTATAAACTGAAGCACATGTGAAAATTCTTATCGACCGTAAAATTAACGCAATTTCAGTCAAACTTGCACTAATAGAAATGCGTTATTGGAATACATTGGTGCCTGTGAATATCGCATCATTTGGCTATTTTTTTCTGAATTGGCTAGAATCATCTAATGTAGGGATCTTCAACTCGTGGCCCACGGTCCATTAATGGCCCACTGAAGGCATTTTAGTGGCCTCTCATTAAGATCTGAAGCAATTAAAAATAGTTTTGTCTGTTTTTTGTCATAAAAAACGTCATTCTTTTGTTATTCTTGATTTTTAAAACATTTCACTGATGTGTTTGGTATACATTTGAGACAAAATGTTTTAAAAATGCAGAAATTTCAATATTTTCCCTGTATTTGAATTAATTTTAAACGTAAAAAATTCTTACCATGCATAAAAGAAATTTTTGGTAAAAAGTGGGCTTTTTAACAGGTTTGCAAAGTATTTTAATTCGATTTCCGTTTAACTTTTTATTGAAGACGATGTTTATATATCTGTAAACACCATCTCTTCCCTCAAAATCACTTGTAGTCTTGTATAAAACAAACCTCTCTTTTTTATACATAAATTTCTTTACTGAAATATTTTTTGACTGTCGTCCGGCCTGTGGATCATTGTGAATTTATTTATGTGCACAGCAAATTTTTGTAAATTCATTCATCTGGTTCTCGAGAGTGAAAGGTTAAAGACCCCTACACTAAACCATTGTTCCATGTGGTCTAGTGGTTAGGATTCCAGGCATTCACCCATGAGGCCTGGGTTCGATTCTCGGCATGAGAAGTTAAGGTTCCATGGTGCAATTGTAATTGTTACTCTGAATCCAGCGATCCGAGTTAAAATCTCGGTGGGACCTTTTTTGTGCTGGCGAAACTACAACGCCTGCCGCTCCTCTTACTTATTTGAAACTATTTTCAAAGTATAAAGCAAAGGCCATTTGGATGGCCCCACCGGTGCACCCATGGTATCAGAGTAATTGCCCTGGATGCTCCTTGGTTCGGGGCGGCAGTGGACGAGATCAAACTGCGCATGTTCGTTTCCTTAGCAATCATCTGTTGTCATTGACTTTTGTCGATGGCATTAAACACTTCGAAATTTGCACTAAGTGTTCTTGTTATCAGGCCTTCCCTGGCCACATTTTTTTTTGTTTGGTGCTTACCAGGTAGGACTTGGTTCAAGATCCCCTATTGGTTCTGGACTTCTTCAGGGTGAATGGGCTCATGGACCTGATCTAGCTCTGCTGATCTCGGGAATGAGAAGCAACAACAACACCATTGTTTGGGAAGCATTTATCTATATATATAAAGGAAACTTATTCACTCACACACTTACTCATTACGAAATCTCAGGAACTATTAAACCTACAGACTTGAAATTTGGTAGACATGTTCCTTTCATGGAGTAGAGATCCGCTAAGAACGGATTTTGCGAAAATAGAAGCCCAAGGGACATTACGGGGGATTAAGGGGCGCTATAAATAATTATTTCCATTTTTAAACTATTGGACGTATAATCTCGGAATTTGTATGCAGATTCCTTTCATGAAACACAAATTTTCTACAAAAAGGGTTTTGTGAATATTGAATCCCAAGTGGTGTTGTGGGGGCTTAAGTAGTGTTATAGATTATTATTTCATACATGACACTAAAAGCTCTGAAGAAAATACATTTTTCCTATTCACAAATCCTCTTTAGTTAAATTTCAAGATTAATCGAGCAAATATACAGTCGAAACTCCATATTACGAACCTCTATATTGCGAATTTTTCTATATAGAAAACTTTTTTCCTGGAACCAAGAGTATTTCACAATTTGTTTTGTAGAATAACCTCCCTATAGCGAAGTGCATTTTCTATATAACGAACCTTTTCTCTTCTGATACAGTTTTTTTTCTTTCTTTTTTTGAAGTATTTCTAGACATTTCAAATTATTCTCTCTTTTAATACATTTTATGGTGGTCATAAATCTTGAACGGGTTTTATTAGGTGCCTAACTCCTCGAATGCAGAAGAATTCTGGGTGTTCCATTCAAAAAATGCAGCCTTTAACCCACATTGTCCAGTTCAGTGAAAACATCTTAGATACCCCCTTTCACCCTCAGCAGAGTTGTCTCGTGTCCTTGATCAGTCGTACTGGTAACTTCGTTCCTTTTGGCTCCAAAACGTAAAAACATAAGTGCTTGCGCATATCAAAGATAACGATGTAATTCGTTAGGAAGTGGATAAAGGCGTCAAGAACTTTTCCTTGCAGTTTTTATTTATTTCTTTTCTTTTCTTTTGGATAAGTAAGAGATTCATAAAATAAATAGATATTAATTTACAAAAAGTTGTGGATAATTACTTCTTTTTAATATATAGTGTTTAAGAGTAAAAAAGTTTATTTTATGTATTTTATAAAGAAAACTGAAAGATGAACCTCAATATAACGAATTTTCCATATAATGAACTTTTTTTCGGGATTCAGCGACTTCGTTATTTATACGACCGACTCTGTAGTTGCAACTTATTTTATTTATCTATTTCTTTATTAACGTCGTATTTTGAAACTACACTTGGTCTACTAACGACGGACCTTTCAAAGCTTCGGTCAAGTTACCAGGTTGATGGCATCTCTCTTTCTCTCTCCAAATTTCGTCACATGTCAACTAAATGTGCATTAGCCCCAATACATGGCGATGGTATTAGAACTCAAATTTTCGACTCAACAATGCTGGAAAAGAATTTGGGATCATGACCATTCGGCCACCGTGGCAACGCATAAAATAACATTTCCATAATCTTCTGCTTAGAAATTTTTTGTAACTTTGTTATTCGTCATAACACAATGAAATATAAACAATAATTTTTTAAAGAATTATAACCTCAAATAATGTCTGAATACTTTAAAATGCTTCAGATGGTTTGAAGACGTAATTATTCAAGTCCTGCTATTAATTTACGCTCTCCCTATGTATATATCGTTCAAATTTTTAATCGCTTATACAATATTCTCTTAATAAATGTTTCATTCAAGTTCAAATACATTTTTTAAACTTGTAGTGGATGACACTTGATGTTAATACAGTTTTTACCTACTATTATTCATTGATTAAATTAAAAAAAGTATAAATAATAACAAACAAAATAATAGTCTAACAGCATATATAGAAAGGAAATTTGTTCGTTGTGTCCTAGTAGCGCAATGGATAGCGTGTTGGGATTCTAACCCAGTAGTCATGGGTTCGAATCCCACATGACATAGCCTAATTTCTGAGAATGTTATTTCTTTTTTTGCAATACTATTTTATTAGACTAATTAAATTTGATTATTGAATAAATAGCAACAAGCATAACAAAAAAATAGTCCAACACCATATACAGAAAGGAAAATGGAAAATCGCAAGAAAAATCACTTTTTATTTTGTCATTTAATATTTTGATTATGTCATGTGTATATACATATTTATATTCATTGTAATTATTGAATAAAAAGTAACTGAAATGAGAAAGTTTTGTTTGTAACTTAAGTAGAAATTGACCTAATTTTTTATATTACTAGTTATATGTTATCGATTCAATGAATCGATTATTTCTCATCTTATATTTGTTGGAACAAACAATCTCGTAACGGATTTTTTTCAAATTCTAAACAAAAAAGAATGATGAAATTTACTGGAGAAAACTTTTTTAAAGAAATGAATATTTCTTTAACAAAAATAGCTCAGTCAAAAAATTTTACAATTAATTTCTTAAAACTATTTTTCATTTATATATATATATATATATATAGTAAATAATTAAGAAATAATCCTGAATGTAATGAGTTTCACATTAATTCTCTAAATTCATCTCTTCATTGAGGCATCAAGCAAGGAATTTGAACCTTAATTCGTTGCTTATATTGCGTTATTCGAAGAATTTCAGACCATCATTTATTTTCGTTCCAGACGGAAATGCCAGATTCTAGAGAGTCTAATTGTGTTTCCATGTTTACAGAGCCGAGTTGAGCCGTCGATGGCATACTTCTTATTTATTTCCACGGAAATGAAAGCCAGTGGCTCGTCAGTAGCGACTAAGATTTAATGAAGCGCGTACGCACTTCCCACTTATTTGCTCCCATGAGTAATTATTTGATAAATAACGAGTGATGGAAGAGTTATAGAGCATTAAAATAAACTTTAACCCAAGGTAAAGATAAACAAAAGTACGGAATTAATTTGTAATGTGGAACTGTTCTTGTGTACAGAAGTAAACTAGAAAAAAATCTACAATGATCTTTTAAGACAGTTTTTTGTGTTATCATTTTCTGTTAGATCACTTTAACATAAATTTCTTTAAAAGATTTTAGTGCAGCATCTCTCAAACTGTGGGGCGCCCCCCCCCCTTTGGGGGAAGGCGTGATTTCCTTACAAGGGGGAGCGAGCATATCGAATAATCAAAAATAAAAGATTTGAAAAATTGCAAATTTACTGAAAGGAAGGAAAACAAAAAACATTATAACATAATAAAAAAGTAAAATACACATTTACATTGATTCAATACACTTATAAATGCATATGCACTGCATCATCTATTTGATTATTAATTTATCAATACTATGTTAAGAACAAGATTAATAATTATTAGTGATTCCCATGAGCTTGTCATATACAAAATTATACACAAAATTTAATACTTATCTTAATAATTGGTATGGTTTATAATTAAAGTCTTATTGTAGCTTTAGCACATAGCTTTTAGTACGTTATTTTTGAAATCAATATATTGTTATTTTATAGAGGGGGCGCGATGAAAATTATGATTTAAAATTGGGTCACAAGTATTGAAAGTTTGAGAAGCACTGTTTTAATGGATTGAAATAAAACACTTAAAAAAATTGGAGTTTTTTTTATAATGTATTGATAGACACATTATTAAACTTGCACATATGAATCCAAAAAACAACAAACAATTATGCAGAATTTAAAATAAATTGAAAAATTATTATTTTTGTGACTCGGTTTATGAATCATTTCATAATAATTTAGTTTCCTTAGCCTTCTAATACTTTAAGGTATGTGACTACCTTCGGAGCACTTTTTTTGAAATATATAAAATTTCTATTAAATAAACATTTTTTTATTTGAAATGGGACATAAAAGTAAGGATTCCAAAACAGTTTTTACAAAGTTAAAATTAATTTGAGAAATATTGTGAATTTTGAGTGAAATTTTAGTGAAAAATTGCAGTTGCGGTAAGGATTGTATTGAAAATTCTAATTAATATATTCTTATAATATTTACACAGTACATAAATGACATAATTATCCGTGTTGATAGCTATAAAATTTGTAAATACTTCTGAAAGTCTTTGAAATATGTTAATTTTTATGCAAAAACTCAATTTTTTACAAAAAAACAAATGTTATTTTCTCACAAAAAGTGCAATAAAATAAATAAATATATATACAGAGATTAGATTATAGTCTAAAACACAGATAACACTGATTAAAACATTTTCTGAAAATTTCAAGTCAATATCTTAAAAAGAAATTCTGTAGTGAACTGTGCCGTGAAGAAAAAAAATTCAAAAACATAGTTTTTTAGGAAATGCATTTAAAGATTTTAATACTATATGAAAATTTTTCTACTAATTTTACACTTTTAAAACTCACTATATTTATAGTTCAAGCTCTTTTTAGCTTCATGTAAAACTGATTTGACCTTTATTTTACCCTTTTGTTGTTTTCTGAAGAGTTTTGTAGACTATAATAATTGTTTATTTTTAGCGAAATTTTGGTGAAAAATTGCAGTTACGACAAATCTTGT